ATCTTAGCCGATGTCCCCCAAATTTGACACACTTAGTTTCAGGCTGAATTCGTTCATATGTGCCAAAATCCAATTCAATTTGGGCTTATATTAACCATTTGGTGCACAATAAACTGGAAATCGAGTAAAAATATATTTGGGAGCTATATCCAAATCGGATATATATATATATATATATACCATTTGATATATTTTCCCAAATATCGTTGTTACGGAGTGCATATTATGGCTGCAGCGGATAATAATAACACATCGGATGAACAATGTACAGGGTCAGATGAAAAAACTCCAACCAACTTCAGACTGCTGTTATTTCTAAGTCACTATAGACAAGTTCAGTACACGAGTCATTTTTCGGCCACTGCGATGCGTGGTTGCGATCAGGTCGCTTCTTCACTTTTCGAATCATTTCTGTTGATCTTGCTGTTTTCTTCCGTCCTTTCCCATGACGCCGGGCTACGCTACCAGCTACCAGGTCACGGTTAAGAGTAATAGCTGCAGCTATTAAAATTATTCCAGTTACAGCTCATTCTATTGTTTACAAGCATACAAAAGCATTTTGGTGAGAATTTTCCAGAAAAAAAAGTTATTCGTGATGGAATTCAAGCGTAATAGTGTGATCTCTTTATATTTGGTTGGAAAACCACAAATGGCTATCGTTACAGCACTCCAGTATTTAAATGTGAATTAATCTTTTGTGTCTCGTACCATCACTCTTAACCGTGACCTGGTAGCTGGTAGCGTAGCCCGGCGTCATGGGAAAGGACGGAAGAAAACAGCAAGATCAACAGAAATGATTCGAAAAGTGAAGAAGCGACCTGATCGCAACCACGCATCGCAGTGGCCGAAAAATGACTCGTGTACTGAACTTGTCTCAATATTCCATTCGTCAAAAATTGAAAAATGAGCTCGGGGTGAAGTGCAAGAACTTACACCGCAACAGAAAGAAAATAGACTCAAAAGAGCTAAAGAGTTGCTTCGCTTGACTGAAAGTGAAGAACTGCCGAATGAGAAAACATTCGTTGTCCAGCAGTTTGTAAACAAACAAAATAATCGTGTTTACTTGCCAAAGAGGTCAGCTGAAAATTTGCACCTTCGGTTGGCCACCAGAACTTAAGCGCCGGCCTTGGTGATTGTGTGGGCCGCCATAACAGCCATTGGTCACTCTCTGCTCTTACTAGTTGACCGTGACATCAGAATAAATGCCGAGTATTAACTCTTAAATATTCTTGAGGGTGTATTAAAGCCTTGGGCACCCAAACATTTTGGCACAAGACCTTGGACACGACTCAGCACCATCACACTCAGCACGCGCCACCCAAGAATTGTTACAAAATAAGGTTCCTCGCATCATTTCCAGCGCACAATGGCCACCAAAATCTCCGGATACCAATCCGTTGGACTATTGTGTATGGAGTATTTTGGAAAACAAGATTGGCGCTAAAAAATAACAAAGTGACGATTACCTCAAGCAAGCGCTTTGCCGGGAATGGATGGAAATACCGCAGAGCAACATTCGGGCAGTGTGTGACGGTTTTACTTGCCGTTTCAAGACCATAATTCGTGCCAAAGGTGACCAATTCGAACAAATCTAAACTTATTCTAAAATTTGATATTAATTCCGACATTTTTTGCTTTAATTCAGTAATTTAAAAAAAAAATGACACCCTGTATATCTTGATTCGATTACAAGATTATTGTGCACTAAATGGATAGTATAGCTAATTCAAAAGAAATGAAAGAAAGTGTGTCAAGTTTGATGAAAATCGGCTCGGGGTAATATATATGAAATGTTGCTAAGCAATACCACTGCCAAATTTCAGATAGGTTTTGATTCGGATATAGCTCCCACATATATCTTTATCCGATTTCAGGATTATTATGCACTAGATAGATAGCATAGGCGCGAATTGAATAAATAATTTCGACAAATACGACCGAATTCAACAGAACTGGACAAACGTGTGTCAAATTTGATGAAAATCGGTTCAGATATAGCTATAGGTTCCATATAGATGTTTCATCCCATTTTGTTTTTAAGTACCACCTCTCACCCCTAGAATGGACTTCACAATAACGATATTTGCTACCTGATATCAGATACAGCATAGAAATGCTTATACTAAATTTTGTAGAGATCAGTTCAGATTTGAATGTAGCTCCCATATATGTCTTCGTCTGATTTCAGGGCCCGCCCGACCTTTGGCATTTCCTTATTAGTTTTAATTCACAATTGTTTGCTTAAAAAATGTCCTTTTCATAAAATCTCCTTTAATTAAAAAAGGATTATTCATTTGACTGCTATTTAATTAATTTTCATAGAATTCGAATTGCAGTTTTTAAAGTCTTGAAGTGTTTTCTGATGCGTGTGTTATTCCGTGAAATATTATTTATAATTTAATAACCAAAGTAACGGAAATGACTCTGAAAAAAATAAAACGTGCAAACGCTTTCGTTTTCCTCGCTATTTATTTTTTTTTAAGTTTGCATTTCACATCTGTTTTTGAGGTAGCTTCACCAACACATGTCCTGGTTGGACAAAATCAATACCTCTTGTCGCTGTTTTCTCCATGTATTTGTGTGTGTGTACATAAATGTGCTTGCGTGTGTAGGATGTGTTTTCAATTTCCGTTTCCTTTATTCGTTCAATATCGAATGAGTTTTGGCCAGAGGCCAAAGGCTCTACAGCATCAAATGTGAGATAATTTAAGAGCCCGATGTTATTTAAATGTTGTAATTCCATAAAATTTAATTTATGACTAGGAGTCAAAGGGGTTATTTTTGTGTGTTTTTTTTTATACCCTCCACCATAGTATGGAGGGTGTATTAACTTTGTCATTCCGTTTGTAACACCTCGAAATATAAATTTTAAACCCCACAAAGTATATACAGGGCTGCCCATATTCGACGGACCTTTGGGCCATTTCGGCCCATTCCAATCGACGAGGCTTGTCCGCAGGCAACATTCTTTGCGTCAATTGAATTTTGTACGGGAACAAATGCAATTCAATGCGAATAATCCGCTGTAAAGTGGACCGAGCCATGCCCAACTGCTGAGAACGGCGTTTTTGGGATGTTCTTGGGGACCTCTCAACACTGGCTCGTACGGCAGCGATATTCTCGGCCGATCGCCTTGGTCGACTTTTATATGGCCTCTTCGGATTAGAAAGAGCCCTACCACTCGATAATTTTTCATATAAACGCTTAATGGTGTCCTTAGAAGGCGCACTTCTCACATTTTTTAATGTTTTAAAAGCACGTTGAGTTTCCACAATTGACTTCCTCTGTTGAATGTAAATTTCAGAGCCCTCGTGTGGCGTGTATTGGTTCATGGTAAAAATCTGCTTGGACTGACGCTTCAAACGCGGTATGTCATTAAGCGATGTGACATCTCTGTCAAAAGTTATGGCGTTGCCAGATGGGTCCGTCGAATATAGACAACCCTGTATATTCTTTATCAGCATTAAATTCTATGTCGATTTAGCAATGTCCGTCCGTCTATCCGTCTGCGAAAATCCGAATGACACGACGAAGGTTGATACAATTTTACTCAAATGTGTATTATGTGTGCAGGACTTTTGGTATTAAAAATGGGCCATGTAGGTCCATGTAGGTCCACGTCTTCGTATAACCCCCATATAACAGTAACTCCCGATATTCGTTATTTTGATGATTTTAGCGATATTATTTACCGGAATTGTTTCAAATTTAGTATTTGAAGTTCGCAATGTATGTTAAAGCCTAAGACAGAAAATTGTCTGTGCAGGTCAACGTCTTCGTATAGCCTCCATGTAACGGTACCTTCCGATAGTCGGTATTATGATGATCTTAGCGACATTATTCATCGGAATTGTTTCAAATTTGGTATTTAAAATTGGTAATGGATGCTACGGCCTATGCCAGGAGATTGTCTATGCAGGTCCACGTCTTCGTATGGCCCCCATACAGGGGTACCTCCCGATATTCGGTATTTTGTTGATTTTAGCGACATTATTCACCGCAATTGTTTCAAATTTAGTATTTGAAGTTCGCAACAAATACTACAGCCTAAGACAGAAAATTGTCTCTGCAGGTCAATGTCTCCGTATAGCCTCAATATAAAGGCACCTCCCAATATTCGGTATTTTGATTATTTTAGCGATATTTTTCACCGGAATTGTTTCAAATCTGGTATTTGAAATTCGTAATGGATGCTACAGCCTCTGACAGAAAATTGTCTGTGCGGGTCCACGTCTTCGTATGGCCCCCACATAACGGTAGCTCCCAATGTTCGGTATTTTGATGATTTTAGCGACATTGTTCACCGGAATTGTTTCAAATTTAGTATTTTAAGTTCGAAACAAATACTACAGCCTAAAACAGAAAATTGTCTGTGCAGGTCCACGTCTTCCTATGGCCCCCATGCAAAGGTACCTCCCAATATTCGGTATTTTGATGATTTTAGCGATATTTTTCACCAGAATTGTTTTATATTTGGCATTTGAAGTTCGTACTGAATACTACAGCCTCTGACAGAAAATTGTCTGTGCGGGTCCACGTCTTCGTATGGCCCCCACATAACGGTAGCTCTCAATGTTCGGTATTTTGATGATTTACGCATCATTATTCACCGGAATTAACAGACAATTGTCCATACAGGTCCAGGTCTTTGTATAGGCCCCATATATCAGTACCTCCCTGTATCCGGTAATATTACGACTATATTCGCTATTTTTAAGATTTTAACAAAATTTTTTAACGGATTTTATTATTATTATTTTTTTTCTGAGAATTTAAAAATTCGTTCCAAATGGTGGAGGGTATTCAAAGTTCGGCCTGGCCGAACTTACTACTTTTTTGACTTGTTTTAATTATCAATTTTTGTACAAAGGAAACCTTGAACTTTGAAGAAAAACAAAACAGAAGGGGGGGGTTGGCTTTATTGTCTGCCATATAATTAAAAACAATATTCTCGACAATTGAATAATTTTTTTCCGTTTTTTTGTTTGGTTTTCTTACAGCCTTTCATTTGTATTCCAACAAAACGGAGGAGGAGCGCATCGAGGACGACACGTTGGCGGTGAAGTATGAGGATGGCCGCTGGTCCAAGCCCTACTATGACTGCGGTGGCGGCAATATTTGGATGTTGACCTATACTGTGCCGTTTTTTGGCTACGAGAACGGCACGTATCATTTCAAGTAAGTGACTTGTTGTTGTTGTTGCAGCTGTTTTTATTTTTTCCTTTTTTGTGGTTAAATTGTATATTTTTCCCAAGAAAGGCAAAATTTTTTGCGGTCGCTGCGATGCCAGACTGTGCAACTTAACTCTTTTAATTATGCAAATGTTTTCATTTAATCCGCACATACAAAAATATCTTTTGTAGGCAAAAAAAAGGGATGACAAAAAAACAACAGCCTCAAAGAATTGTGTTGTTCTTAATAGGGCTTGGAATTATGATAAGCAGAGGGTGAATTGTAAGGGTATATGTTTTGGGGGGACAAATTATTTTGGCCAATGAGTGGCTCTGGAAAGGGGAATGCGGAACCGAAACTTGGTATAGTCTATTTTTATATAACAGAAAGGGATGTTGCTTATAACTCTAGAAAGGCTAGACCGATTTGGGCAATTCTCTCCAAATGGCCTCTCCACAGAAAAGTATAATATTAACATATAAAGGGACATTAAGTTCGACCGGGCCGAACTTCTAAGACCCTCCAGGATTAGGTAAGGAAAAAAATATTCAAAAGTATTCAAACGTGTTCCACTTTAAACTACCAACTCCTGTTAGAGTTTTCGAAAAAACAATCACGAGTGGTTGGAGCCGTTATATGGGGACCTTACCGAAACCTGCGCCTCTATAAACAAATTGATGGACATTGACAAAGATGGTAAACTATTGCAAATCTTAAATACCAAATTTGACATAATTTCGTGGGTAAATGTGACTAGGATTATCAAAATACCGAATATCGGTCTACATCGGTCCAATCATCAAAAATACCGAATATCGAGAGTACCGTTATATGGGGCTATACGAAAATGTTCTATCGCCGAAGCTGGAACCCACTACAAACAAAAAATACCATTTATTGGACAAATCTGTGGAAAATGTGGCAAAAATCATGAAAATACATGAATGAAATCGGGACGTGTCCTTATGTGGGAGCTATACGAAAACATGGACCTGTATATACAATGTTCCGCCGGCCAAATACTAATTTTTAGACAAATTGGTGGAAAATGTGGCTAAAGCCATCAATATACCGAATATCAATATGTGGGGGCTATCCCAAAACGTGGACCGATACAGAATACAAACTGCTGTGTCAAAGTTTTAGGTTCTACGTCAAATAATGTGGGCTGTATCGTGATTTTAACAGACAGACAGGACATTTTTATACCGGCTTAGATTTGTATGCTTATCATAAACATAGATATTCTTTATGGGGTCTATGACGAACATTAAGAGGTGTTACAAACGTAATGGCAATTTAATATACCCTCGATTTTGCGATGTCCGTCCATCTGTGGAAATCCCTCTAGCTTACGAACGAAATGAAGTTGGTTGATAAAATTTTACTCAAATGTATATTATGTCTGCGGGACTTTTGGTATTGAAAATGGTCCACGTTTTGGTATAGCCCCCACATAACTGCCTTCCGATATTCGGTCTTTTACATTTAATATTTGAAGTTTGAAATTTATACTACAACGGAATTATTCAAATTTGGAATTTAAAGTTCGTAATGGATACTACAGCCTGAGACAGAAAATTATTTTTGCAGGTCCACGTCTTTCGATATTCTGATGATTTTAGCGACATTATTCACCGGAATTGTTTCAAATTTGGTATTGAAGTTTTTAATGGATATTAAAGCCTATGATAGAAAATTTCACTAAAAAAATATAGGTATAATCATATAAATAACTGAGATCGCGAATCGTGGAACTATATGTCCAATTTCGTAAGATAAAATAATTTCCACAGACAGACGGACGGGCGGATGAGGTCATTTCGAGGAGTTACAAACAGAATAACAAATTTAATATATTTTCCATATCATAGTGAACATTCTCTTGTATAGAAAACTGTGTTATTTAATGGAGGACTTTGTGGTCCATGGCATGATATTCCGGAATAAAAGGCAAATTTGTCTTCTAACAGAAGGCTTTGAAGACCAGGAGATAGCCTTTTTGCACGTAGAAGTCTCGTGCGGTCAAATCAGGCGATCTTGCTGGCCAGTGCAAATCGCTAAAACGGGAGATTAGGCGCCCGGGAAATGCATTCTTAAGTATGACATGTGTAGTGTGTGACATTGCAGCGTCCTGTCGGAACCACATGTTTTGCAATCCCAACTTATCAAGTTGCGATAAAAAAAAAGTAGTTCATCATTGCTTTGTAGCGCTCACGATTCACAGTAACCGTTTGGCCCGCGACGTCTTCAAAAGAAAAAAGCCCAACGACTTCTCCAGCGAAAACAGCACACCATAAAGTGACTTTAAGCGATTGCAATGACACTTCGAGGGTTACACGCGGATTTTCAGTGCCCCAGAAGGGTACATTTTGCTTTTTTATGTACCTGCTAGGATGGAAATGGGTCTCATCACTCATGATTATTTTTGATAAAAAATCATTCTCTTCTTTATGGTGATTAAGGATGGCTTGAGCGTATGTTAGACACGATTGGCGGTCAGCAGCTAACAGCTGATGCATCATCTGAAAACATCTTCGAATCTTCTACCAAAATTAGCGGTAAAGACCTTGAACTAATACGAATACTTGGCACGACGTCTGGTCGATGTCGACGGCGCTTCCATGACATCCTCGGCTACAGCAGCTATATTATCTGCAGAACGGATATTCCGGGGTCTGCCACGCCTGGCAGCATTTTTTGTTGTGCCAGTCTCTTCGAGTCGAGCGGCTAAACGTCGCGGTGTTTCGTCAGTAGCCGTTGGACGGCTGCGACGAAATTCACGTTGTGCCAAATTCTCCGACCGATTATTGGTCAAATAAATAGTCATCAATATTCCGCTTTCTGGAGCATAACATTGTTTCTTAACTTATATTTCGCATGTGTTTAGTACAAAAATGTCAAAGCAGAACTGACATTAGGGACATTAGTGAGGATTATTTTTGCGCCACTTTGTAGAGGACCAGGTATCTTTCTTATAAAGGAGACCAAGTAAATAGGAAAATGTTGGTGTTTCTTTGTGGAATGTCAAAGGGCTCTCTTATATGAGAAATTCACGATTTATCTTCTATAAAATCCTGGTGGTCCTTTTGCAAAAAGGCTGTGTGGTCTTCTTCAATAAATTGCAATCTGCATTAATAGAAAATCACGTGGTACTAATAATAAGAAAACACAGAGGTTTTCCTGTATAGAAGATCAAATGGAACAATCCAATAGAAGGCTAGATGGGCTTCTTATATAAAAGACAAAAGGTCCTTCTTATGAAAAAACAAGTAAAAAAACACTAAGTTCGGCCGAACCGAACTTTGAATAAAATTTGGAACGAAATTTTCAAAAAATGAAATCCGTTAAAAATTCTGCAAAAATCTTAAAAATACCGAATGTAGCCGTTACATTGGGGTCTATATGACGTGGACCACATAGGTATTGTTAGTTATAAGCCATTATCATATTATAAACGGGTATAATGTAGCATCTTCTCTTCTAACGGAGCTATACGAAGACCTGGTCCTGCATAGACAATTTTCTGTCACAGGCTGTAGCATCCATTACGAACTTCGAATACGACATCTCAAACAATTTCGGTGAGTATTGTACCTAAAATTGTCAATAATACCGAATAAAGGGGGGTACTGATACATATATGGGGCCTATACGAAGACCTGGACCTGCATAAAAAAATTTTGTGTCACACACTGTCGTTCCCATTACGAACTCTTAATACGTAATTTGAAACTACTCCGGTGAATAATGACGCTAATATTGTCAAAATACCGAATATCGGGAGGTACCGCTATATGCGGGCTATACGAAGACGTGGGCCTACAAAGGCAATTTTCTGTCACAGGCTGTAGCAAACATTACGAACTTCAAATACGACATCTCAAACAATTTCGGTGAGTATTGTACCTAAAATCGTCGAAATACCGAATAAAGGGAGGTACTGATATATTGGGCCTATACGAAGACGTGGACCTGCATAGACAATTTTCTGTCACAGGCTGTAGCATCCATTACGAACTTCAAATGCCAAATTTAAAACAATTCCGGTGAATAATTTCGCTCAAATCGTCAAAATACCGAATATGGGGAGGTACCGTTATATGAGAGCTATACGATGACGTGGACTTGCACAGCCTATTTTCTGTCTTAGGCTGCAGTATCCATTACGAAATTCAAATGCCAAATTTGAAACAATTCCGGTAAATAATGTCGCTAAAATCATCAAAATACCGTATATCGGCGGGTACCGTTGTATGGGGGCTATACGATAACTTGGACCTACATGGCCCATTTACGAACTTAACCTGTCTGCTGGCAGACTATACATGTCTGCAAAAATTTAGCTTTCTATCTCAATTTGTTCGAGATATAGCGTGAGTACAACAGACAGAGAGACAGACGGACAGACAGATACGCAGACAGACGGACGGATATGGCTAAATCGTCTTAGAATTTTACGCTGATCAAGAATATATATACTTTGTTGGGTCTGACATGAGTATTTCGAGGAGTTACAAACGGAATTACAAAATTAATATACCCTCCATAGTATGGTGGAGGGTATAAAAAAAGGTGGAGGATATAAAAACTTAAACATTTTTGCCGTTATTCATTGTCTATCAGAGACAAGAAGACCACTCCTCTTGTATAAACATGGTTCGTTTTATTGTTTTGAAGATGTAGGCAGTTTCGGGTGTAGTGGTATATCTCCATACCCTATTATATACTTTGAACCGAGTGCAGGGCATTATTTAGAGTGGGGTCATCTAATACTGAGAAGCTATTGGTAATATTGAATAAAACACCACAATATAATCTTGTATTGGAGTTCAGATGATATTATCGAATAGGTTGACAGTTGATTTCTTTAATGAAAATTTTGGTCTTCTGGCATGGTATTTTGTTTAAGAAATCAGCTGCCATAAATATTTAAAAATTCAACGAGATCCAACAAAGTTATCGGTATTGCACATTATACATCTTCTCTGTACGACATGCAGTCA